GATTCATTCGTTCGTTACTCGTGAAATCACGATACGCTTGTTCATTACTCGTGAAATCACGATTCATTTATTAATTATTGGTGAAATCAGGATTCATTCGTTCGTTACTCGTGAAATCACGATTCGTTGGTTCGTTACTTGTGAAATCATGATTCATTCGTTTGTTACCCGTGAAATTACGATTCGCTCGTTTGTTACTCAAGAAACCACAATTCACTTGTTAAACCACACAGGCAATGTCGAGTGAAAGTGATTCAGGTATATCGTGTGCCCGTAGAACACAGATTCGGGTCACATACGTTTAACTTCACAAGGCACCATCTTAGGAGCATACACATCGATCTGGCCTCCCTCGCACGTGTCTCCTGGCACGCGTCTGTATCTGTAAACATTAAACGATCGCCATGACTACCGCATCCCGTGCACGCGTCTGTAAACATAAAAACAATAGCCCTGACTACCGCATCCCGTGCATGCGTCTATATCTGTAAACAATAAATGATCGCCATGACAACCGCATCCTGCACATGCGTCTGTATATGTAAACAATAAACAATCTCCATGACTACCGCATCCCACGCACGGCGAATGGTGGTTCGTACACATATTGATAGAATCCGAGTTCTACCTACAGCAGGCAACTTCCCTGCTGTTCTCTAGTGTCGTGCTAAATATTACGATTGAAAACTATTGCGAGTGGCGGTGACCACACCGCTTCGCCTATCCGCATTACTTCTCAATGAAGAACGAATAAGAGGTGCGATTTTTACTTCTGATGTGCATGGAGAATAATTAGTTGACATGAATACGCTAAACAAGCAGATGGAAAAATTCATTAGTGGAGAAAGGTGATAGTCGGTGTCATTAGTCCCTACGAAGAAACTAAAATGAAAAGGAATTTTTTAAGAGCTAAAAAACACAAGACAGCTAAATAATCGAGTTGAATACTCAGATGCGACTTTGAGTACAAAACCACGTATATTCAACATACATGGGTTCATGCTACAAAGAACTGCACATACGTTCGTATAAACACGGTGTTCTTACGGATCGGAAACACGTTGGGAAAACGAAAACCGTAACTATATTAGCAAAGGGTGTCGCATAGCAACCACGCTATACAGTGCCTGCTACCTCCGTTACCCCCAACTATACCCTCGAAAAATCCACCTACGCCTATCTTCGAGTGCGAGACTACAGACAGGAATAGAAGAGAGGCGGCGGTGACGAGAGTGCCGTCCTGCGAGAGTTAGCTGTTAGAGACAGACAGTCCCTCCGAGCGAGCGACAGGTGGAGGGTATGCGTGAGCTTACCCTCGCGTGTGCGGAACAATGAGCCCCTCGGGGCAGCTGCCGAGGCCGCTATCAAACGCAACGTAGTCGTTCGCGATACACTCGTTGTACGTGTTTTCCGTGTAACCGACGGAGCTGCAAACGAACGGCACATGACATGACGACGTGACGACGCGAGCGGTGCGTCCGCCCACCAGCAGGTGGCGCCACGCATCGCGGCGGAAAATCACGGGCAGACGGCGAGGGTGGGAGCGACTCGACGACGACATAGTACGCTTCCCTTCCCGCTTCCCCCCTCGACTGTTGTCGGTAACTTCGCCCGTGATTCTGCGCCGGCGCGTCGACGCCACCCGACGCTTCGCCTTACCCTTTCGAGACGGCCGCAAACTTGCCCTCGTGGCACCGGGTGGCGCCACTGTGTGTCTTGACGCTGGCGATGCGTGTGTAAGGCACGCATTCGTCAGTGGACACGTTAATGACGTGCCCCACGTCGCTGTGCGCGGCAGCAGAACCAACACAAGAAAACAGTAAAGCAGTGAGGGTCGGGTACGAAACATTAATAACAGTTATATGTGGAAGAGTCGAGAAAAGGGCACGTGAAATATTAAATGCTTTTAGTGAACAATCACACACACGTCAGCAAAAAAAACGAGTTAAAATAATGAAATTTCAACTCTCAGTTTATGCTTTACATCGTAAAAACGATTGAAATGTCAATTAAATGCAAAACATCATTAATTCATCAGTGTTGCGAATTGAAAATACACGGAACAAATTATGAAAATGAACATCCAACAATTATGCAAATGCATTTAAAATAAATTAAAGTAAGAAAACCCGACATGTAAAGATCCATTGCGAATAGCTGCAACACAACAATATAATTTAATGTGAATAGGATGTGATACCGGAATAATCGCAATTGATACTACAAATATCGAGGCAAGTCCACTCAAACCTGCGTTAGTCATCCCCCCAATAGAACAGCCACCTGTCCACAAAGAAAACTTTTCCCATGAGTGGCAGTTACACATTGAAGCCGCCTCTACAGAACAAATAGTTGTCTACAGAGGACACTTGATGGCTTAGATGGTATTTACCTTGACTGACCCTTATACACAGTTTTGACTGGAGAAGTGAAATGATCTCTAAATGAAACGCACACATGCATGCATGCATGCAGGTGTCTGGAGGAGAGAAAGGCGAGGTTACACGCATACGCGGCCGCATGCCTGCACGCACGCACGTGTCCGGGTGACGATTATCTGCATTGTGACACAATGCGGGCGACACACGACACTACGGTCTGCATCGTGACGTCACGACCCATGCAACAGCATCGTACGGTGTCAATGCCACGTCGCGTCATAACCTCGCGGCTCGACTGCCACCGTGCGCGCTCTTACACCCGCCGCCATCGCCTACCATGATCTTGTCGTTGACGATGTCCGTCCAGTAGACGCAGTTGTCAACGAAGTCGTATTCGACGGCGATGACGTTGTCGGTGTCAAGCAGCGGCAGCGTAAACGTGCTGTTATCGAGCATGTTCACGCGAGTGATCTTGGTGCGGTTCGCGAACAGCATGAACTCCTTAACGGCTGAAACGACGACGACGATTCGCTCGTTCGTTACTCGTGAAATCACGATTCATTCATTAAATTCTCATGAATGAAATCAGGATTCATTCGTTAAATAGTCGTGAAATCAGGATTCGCTTGTTCGTTACTCGTGAAATCATGATTCATTTATTAATTATTGGTGAAATCAGGATTCATTCGTTCGTTACTCGTGAAATCACGATTCATTTATTAATTATT